ATGTAATACAAAAATTATAAATACTTTTGTATTAATAGAAGAATTAAAACTCTTTCGGTTTCATAAAATGTCTTTGTTAAAGAGTAAGCGTAGAGATATTCTATTTTGGGAATTCATGGCAGAAAACATACCATTGAATAATAATTAGATTTATATTTCAAAGGAGGAGTTATTTTTAGAATCTTGTCCCTCTTTCGCTTCCATTTTAGGAAGCAGTAAATGATTTTCCATAATGCGTAGAGTTACAAAGGTATGTATGACTGGAACCTAATTACACCAATCTCTGTAATATTTAATGCGGGACAGAAGGTTTTCGCATGTCTCTTGCTGAATAACGTGTTCCAATAAACTTCTGCCGAAACCATTCGGAGTCTTGTCCACACCCCCTCCCATGTGGAGTGCGGATGTGAACTGTTATAACCACCAGCATGCCTTTTAATAAACCTTTTGATAATTTATTATGGCTTTTGACTGCATTCTTAAAGTTGAATACACCAATGATAACAGAGCTGTAGCCCTGTTATTATATATATATATATGTGTAATAAGCGAGACAACAACCTCTATGTTATCCCGCCAGATGTCGCTCGTCTGAACGAAAGGCATAGAACTTTCTTGATGTAAATGAAGAGAGTCAGTTGATATTGTTTCGAAGTGAAACTGGTAACCTTAGTCTGAAACTGGTAACCTGTGTGGTTCAATCTTAAATATTTAAGAGTCTGTGTGACTCATGTTATCATTAAAGAATTAGCATAATCATTAAATGTCTTGACTGACTTTATTAATGGTAACCAAGGCATTTACATTTATATATATATATATATTAGTAATGAGGACAGCATTGAGGTACGATCTCCTTTACTTCCCAGGCAAGCTGGTACGCATCGATCTGTTGGTAGGTGGACTTCAATCCACTACCCAGTATCGAACATCTATGTTTCACAATTACAGTTCAATGCTCCCACCACTGAGCCATCGAAGATCCGCAGTCAGGCGTTACCTGAGAAAAAAAATCAGATTTTAGGAGTACTATTTCCAGCTATTTTCACACCTAAATCTAGAAAATTTCGCTTAAATTCTTAAGATTTGTATTCATCTTTTGCGGAGTTATTCCTTTACAAATCTTCACCTTTTTCAATGTACAAGCATCGGATCGAAAACAAATTAGTCTCATCAAGAGATAATTAGATGCTGAAACAAATAACTTGCCAAAATGGGCGATAACACTAAAAAAAATAACATTTCATTCATGTCATTTCCTGATTGTTTTGAATATATTTCGTTAAATTAAGTCTCGCAGTCTGATTAGGTATGTAAAATTTGAAATTTGTTTTTAAATGGTGATAATAGGAGAAAAATTAGTACCCAATCTTCATAAAATTTCGAACTTCTTCATGCTTTTAAAGATATATAAAGCGTGCATTTTCTATGATACGTTTTGTTGCGCTGTGTTGTTTTCACTCTGTTAAGAATTTTACAATTTTTTTGAATTAGCCAATTATTTGCTTCTAAATAGGATTTAAATATTACATATCATACATTACATGCATTTTTTATCATATTACATATCATACATTTTTTAAAGAATAATACATTTTATTAACAATTCGTTCCATAGGTTCGCCTGTTCTTTATTTATATATTTAAACATTCTTTTTCAAAATTTTCTACTAAAGAAAGAAAAATAACTAATAATAATAATTTTAAATTTAATTTCCTTTTTCTCTTTCTTTTTCTTTAATTTTCTTTTTATATTTTTTATTTTTTTATTTTCTTGTGACACTTCCTTCTTTTTCAAAAGAAAAAAAAACTTATTTGCTCTTACTCCTTCATTAAAAAGAAAAATAAATAAATGATAATTATTATAATTTCTCTATCTTAGTAAAATATTTCTCTCCATCTTTTTTTAAACTAATAGACTTTCTTGTTTTGAATTCAATTTTAGGCTTTTGATGAANAAAAAAAAAAAAAAAAAAAAAAAAAAAAAAAAAAAAAAAAAAAAAAAAAAAAAAAAAAAAAAAAAAAAAAAAAAAAGAATAATAATTCTCCAGTATAGTCTAGAATTTTTCCTTTCTTTTCTAAATTTCCCTTTTGTTTTTCTTAAGTGTTTGAATGCTCTTTCTACTTTCATAATTTTTTATTCTCACCTTAAAAATTTCGACGTTTTCAGCTTCATTTTCTATTCTCTGTATAAGCCATTTATTCTTGTTGTAATTTTATGTGTTTTACTTATATTTTGTGTATGTTTTGTCTGTAGAATGTTTGTTCTACTCTCGTGTGCCCTGAATCGGGCGGGACGAGGTATAAATAAACAATATCATACATTAAATTTTTTTAAAGAATAAAACATGTCTTCCAGAAAAAGTTACTTTAATTAACTATTATTGATTTTCCAATACCAAATACAAATTTTCGCTAAATGTAAAAAGAACTATCTTTTCTTGCTGAATGAGTGCTGTGATCTCGCCAAACACCAGGCAAAGTGTCGAAGAAACCAAAACTTGCCAGTTAGCACGTGCAAAGAATGGGAAGACAACCTCATCAACCCCTGTTGCCAACAACTTAACGACGATATTTGAACGACACACACGTGTCCGGACGACAAAATGGTTTTCTTCGTCCCTCAGTCGTTAGCAGAGAATGTTGCCTTTGCTGATAATGTTCTAATGTCATCTCTCAACCATCCCCTCACTTAACTGTAACTGTGTCTTTTACGGAAAAGAGATACAGATTTTTTTTCCTTCCCCTTTGGTTGGATATACTCTTCCGTTTCGATGGTGAAAAGAAGGAAGATAACAAATTTCTTCCAACTCCCCCTCAACCTCCTATTCTTTGATTATTAGAGAGGGATTGTTGGAAGAAAAGAAAGCTTTTGATGATTCTTGATTTGAACGAAATCGCGTTACAAGAAATGAATAAAAAAAGTTTAATGTAAATGTTACAAAAATTTTTGGAACGATTTGCGATTTCGAGTAGTAATATCAGTATTTAATAGTAGATGGAATTATTTTACATTTTTTCTTTTTAAATTTGAATTATTTCATCGCCGGGAATGATGATGGAACTTTCGTATGGTAATATAATTTGACAGAGACATTAAACAGAACCACTAAATTTATTGTACGTGCAATTGCGAATTTAAAATAAGGTATCGTAAAACGGGAAATTATTGTTGTTTGTTGCATTTTATTAAAAGATTATAAATTCGTAAAGATTATTTGTTTTGAAAGAGGGTAACATTTATGTATTAAAAAGTATACTGACATTTTTGAAAGCTAGTATATTAAACTTTACGAAATAGTTTTAAATATAGGAACTTTAAAAATAGCAGGAGAATTTTTCTTTTATTAAGAAGAACATAACACACCTGGTGGTCGCTTAAGCATTGATTTATAAAAAATAAGGGTTTTAAGTTGTAAAAAAGAAACTACGATCATTGTTCGCTTTTACCAGAAATATATAGAAAGTCTTTGATTAATTTTCCTATTGCTACGATTGCTCTCTTAAGGAGCAGGAAAATGAATCTCCTTAAAAATAATTTTGACGTTATAGCGGAATAATATTAATTTTTAACTGGTTATAAACATACAGTTGCAAGCTAATTCCGAGTACCTAAGATATAATTGAATGAAAGAGCAATTCAATGAAACAAACCATCTCAACTGGAAATCGAACCCCGGTCCAAATCATGAGAAGATCCTGCCCGCTACACTTACTGGAAAGGTGAATTATATAGTTATGGATTTGTAAATACATGTATAATTTCGTGAATATTCTCTTGTCAGGCTAAATATCTCAGACAAACCCTATATAAATAGTTTAATTACAATATTTGCCAGAAAATCACCTAATTCTAACATAATTTAAAGAGAACATAACGCTTAATGCATTTCTTATGGAAAACTCAATTTGCCGACTTGGTGACATTTGGCCAACTTGTCGATAATTTTGGCGACTTGGCGATACATTGCGACCATTTTGTCAACAGAATGAGAGTTCTGGAAAATTCGAGTTTCGAACCGATAGGACTAATATTAATACGAGAATTGTCTCAAATCATTTCGTAAGTTCCGAGGTTCCGTCGCCAAGCCTGTATGAATAATAGTGTGTCTCCCAGAGGAGGAGTAGAGAACATTAGTCTGTTTGTCACTGCAATAGTTTTCTGATTTGTGAGTCTCTTGTGACCCGTCTGAGGTTTAAAAGCCTGGTACTTTTTCTGTACTATAGTATGATATTCGTGCTGTAATTGAGATTCTGAAAATTGGTGTGTTCTCTGAATGATTCTGCTAATAAATTTTTGCAGTCTTAAGGACTGTTTTATTCATCTCCAATCGACACGAATCCCTGAGCTCGATGCAATACGGCAGTAAGAATAACTCTAATAATACTTGGTTGCCCCATAATAATATTAGATGCTACGGTTGAAAAGTTTAAATTAAATTTCTATGTTTGTTTCTGCTTCGGTGCTTTAACTGGTGTGCTATAATAATAGAATGCCAGTTGATGATAATATTTGAAAATAAACCGCTGTAATACGATATATGGTATATTCATTGATCAAAAGAATAGCAACCTATATAATCTTTAGTATTTATTTAATTTTTGGTTGAAGTTCTTACATTTTTCATATTATAATGTTATATCTTCCAAAATAAAAATGAGCGTAAGCCTGGATTGTATTTTATTGTAGGGTCAAACGGTGCTTCAGCATAATCTAGACCAATGGTTAGAAATAGTTAAAACAAGAGAGTTCCTTCCAGAGTCCATAGAAAAGATTTTTGATGGCAGTGATGTGTGCAAGGTATTGACAATATTTAATATCTAATTTGGAAAATAAGAGCAATAAAATATTGTTTAAATGTAATTTTTATACATCATACAGAGTTATTTAAAAATATGGACTCAGTTTAATTAGAGTTCTACGTCACACAACTCTGATTTTATCTTTTTTTAAGAGTCTGGTGTGATATGAGAGTGTGTAAGCATATAAAGGCATCATTTATCGCAGTAGTATAATATTATACTTTACCAATCCCACCGCAGCCAGCTATCGATTCTTCTTGAAGTAAAGTAATAGAGACATCATGTTGACTAAAATATTGACAGTAAATAAATTATGACTATCAAAACCATGTTAAATAAGGATTTTACTAAAATAATTCCTCTATTCTCATGAAAATAAGTGCATAACGAACGTCTGATGAACCCATTTAGCGGTCTAATGCTGCAATGCATTAAAACATATACAAAACGGTAAACATGTTAAGCTGATTAGGAGTTAGCTTTGTCTTCATTATAATGCTTAGGGTAATATTTTTCATTTTCAAATCATAAAACAGCTGACATTAGCTTTTAATGTAATCAAATGCGATTACAAACAGCACTTCCAAGAAACGTTTTTAACACGATGCGTATACATATCAAACAACATTTAAAATCCATACTTTAAAACTAAATATTTTCAAGAGACCTATTCTTTTATATTATTAACTCTGATTTAAACCTCTTTTGTTTCAGCCGGGTAGTGAGTATGCCAGTTCCAACATAATTTTAAGCCCAATGTCATGCCAACAAAACCTGAGTTGCACAACATCTCCAAACATCGGTATGCGCAAAACACAAAGCATAGATTCCAGCTACCTAGACCTAAGAGATTATCAAGACGCACCTTATCCTAGACCCCTGTCAAGAGCCAAGTCAGATTTCAATCTAACGTCTTCTAGTGCCAGCCTAGTGTCAAGTAGCGACTACAGTAAGTAATTCAAGTGTCTACAGTCTTAATTCTTTCTCGGCGTTCATCGCTTATTCAAGGCTCCGATCCATATCAGATTCATTTTTATAACCTGTAGAACAAATAACAATAGATATAGATCAGATATGTTTTTTGAACATGCATCCTATTAAATAAAAGCAAATAATTCAAGTATTAAAAAATATTCAGTATAATCGAGGAAATCACGGGGTTGCCAACATTTTCTAGAAGTAAAGAAAAATACAAGTAGTACGCTGTAAAACTTTTTTATGTATATATGCCCCTATTTTTTTGTATTAAAATTAACTAAAGTGAGTCGTCGGATATTTAGGCTATAATTAGAACTAGCTTTGATTTCGATGGGACACTATATTTACTTCTTTTTTACTTATTGAATTTTTTTTCTGACCAAGTGGAGAACGAAGTTAGTAACTCCTTGTAAACATATGCTTAGACATAGTTTTTTAAAATGTATGTTTGGTTCGGGTTAATTTTTTTGCGTCTAATTATGGAACAAAATTAATTTTGCTTTGTTTAAGTGAAGCACACTGGTGTGGAGCTCGAAGAGTTATGTCATGCTATGCGTTGCACAACTTTATATTGACCTCAATAACTTATTCAGAACATTAAAACTTCAGAAAGTTAATGTAAAGATAATGTTTCACACTCTATAAGTTTTTAAAGCCAGCGCTTTCATTGGGTTGGACTGAGGTTTGGTCATCAGTGACGGCTGAAAAACTACCCATCTTCAGATAAATGGAGAGGGAAGCGAAAATGACCAGCGGGCAGCAATGCTGATAAAGTTGCAATATCTTGTCGCTTGCCTTGAAATCGTGAATCAATAACCTTTTGACCTCTATGGGTAATAGTTGGCTTATGTTTTTTTACGTGCTTAACGCTATATAAACTTAATAGACTATGCCAGAAAATTCACATTTTAAAAATAGATATAGATTATTTTGGTATCAAAAAAGTAAAAATCCATTATCATTTTAATTCTTGAATTAAATCGCCTAAATATTTATTTAACATAAAGTGAACAAAAAAGAAATTTTAAAATTATCAAGATGTATTTGAAGCTACTATTATTCCTTAGAAATTGATATAAAATCGTCTTTTTAAAATCGAAAGCAATCTAATAACGGGGTAAATAACAACAAAAAAAATTGATCGCTGCAGTAACATACGTTTCTAGACCAACATTTAAATTCTCTCTGAAAATGGCTAAATTTTCAGATTATTTTTAAACTGAATTTCCTGTTCAGTAAATAAAAATTACATTCGAGAGCCGCAGATTTTTCTAACGTCCTTAATCGTCTTGTAAAACAGCGTTTATTTCAGAAAAAGTTCATGCATTTAAAAAATGGTTAAAAGAAAAAGCAACTTTCTTAAAAGATTAATGCAGTTTGAAAATGAAGCACATTTTCGCTAAAATCTCCTTCAAAAATTATATTTATTTTCGGAAAGAGTATGAAGGAAAAGAATGCAAGATGTTTAGATGTTTTTCGTAGCTTCAAATGTTTGGCAGAATCGAAGAAAAAAGCAACAGCTGGTATTTCCAAAATTAAATGTTTTTTTTTTCGCTCTAAACAAAAGATATATTTTTACGTTCAAAGACACTTGTAAACAAAGGAAATACTCCGCTTTTTAAATTTACTATTGATCTTGTTAAAACAGAAATCTGGATGAACAATATATTATGTCAAAATACGGCTAAATTGATTTTTTTTTCTTCTTTTTGTTCTTCCCTTTAAACGTAAAATACATTAATAAGAAGTGATAAAAAAAAGTGTCGTAAACATTTTGAAATGAATGTTTCACTGTAAAGTTCTTTTTTTAAAAAAAGAAACAATGAAAGTAAAAGGAATAGAAGAAAGTGTAAGCAATAAATAAATACACTGTTTTTTTAAAATGAAAATCTTCCCTAACTATATAAGTAGCAGCAGGCCTTTTAAAATAAGTTTAAAGTATGATTCCTAAATATTTTTCTTAAAAATGTTATTTAAGCATAATTCCGTAACAACTATAATGTTATATATATGCAAGATAAAGTATAATTAATATCTATGTAATTATAATTTCCAAGCATAATTAGTTTATAAGTATTACATTAATTATTGCTGGAAAGATTACTTAAACTTGCATGGTATGGTAGTTGTTAGTTGTAATTAATAAGTTTAGTTTTGAAATGGATTCTAATGACAGTTTTGTTTTCGTGTTTATCTTATCATAAATATGGAAATTTTGAAACACTTAAATTAAAACAACTGCAAAAGATTTAGCATATAAACGGATCCGAAATGCACCCAACTTCTTATGAGAACAAAGAACGCTGAAATAGGTCAATAAAACGGCACCATCATATTAAGAGACAACTTGGAATTGAAGTCTTAGACATTCCTCCTTCAATTCTAAGAGGCCTCTCTAAGTCAGTAGATTTTTCTTTCTTTTTTTGCAGAAAAGGCATATACGCATTTTCCCGAGACAGAACGGCTGAAAGAATTTATTTCTGATTTTAGAATTTGGAATTTATTTTTTTTAATTTTTCCCTCATTTTCAGCTTAGTGAGAATTTTTTTCCTCCGATTGATTACAAGATATTTCAGTGTAAGGAATACCAGGCAATGGCCATTAACCTTTAGGCAAAACATCAGTTAAGGGAATACCAGGAAATGATCCTTTGCCTTAAATATCAGTGTAAGGATTACTTAATAGATTTAAAGTTTGTTTTAATTATATTATTTGTTAATGTGTTTACTTTGTGATCTGACAACATGCTCAATTTAAAAACTGATGGTTGTGAGGGAAGAAAGTTGTCGCATTTTTTTTTTCTTTTTCAAAATTCTCTATTTCTTTGAAAATTATTTTCTAATTGCGTTTAGAATATTAAAAGTCATTTTAGATTCTAGGAAATACATGTTTTGTTAAGACGAAATTCCTGTTCAGTATGCTCTTGCAATTTAGTGCCAGGTTCTTCACTTAGAAATACGAACTTGATTCATTTGAGATGCTAAACTTTAACAAAACAATTTTTCTTCATAAGTAATTGGTTTCTGAAAAACAAATTATTTTTATATAATAATTGTATTATAAGAATTTTATGACAGTTTTATGACATGTTAATGTCACGAAACATTGTCTTGTTAAAATGCAATAAAACGGCAGCTAGTTCTGTTACTATTTAAAAGAAAATTCCCCAAGAAATTTGTGTAAATAAAAATATTATTTCAAATGTGCACGGACAGCTAGTGCAAAATGGGAAAGCCTCTAATGACGTACGATGGCAGTTTTGGACATATGTTCCTATTCAATTCTCAATACGTAGGAAGCGTCGTATAGTGCGGCTTTGACAACTCCTCCAGACCTGTCAAGTCTGGGCAAGCCAGACCTGTCAAGTCAAGCCAGACCAAGTCTGGGGCTGTCTGCTGCTATGGTAACAAGCAAGAGCACATTTCTAATAGGGGTGAAATGGAGGAAAGAAGGTGTCGATTGATTTACTCACGACGACCTACGCTAAGATGAAGACAAAACTATTCACCCCACACCCCTATTCGAAGTGACCGTTCCTCGTAACCATAGTACCTGCCACGACGCGAGACGGGTGTCAGGAGGAGTTCTTCTGAAAGCCGCACTATACCTGCTTTCCAAATTAGTAACCGCAACACTGAATCCTCCTGTAATTTATGTTTACTAGTTCCGTGGTAGAATTCTTAGCCCAGAACTTAACTAGATCTTCACTCAAATTTCAGAAAATGCTTTTAGTGAAAATAAGGTTTTAATTTTTTTTTTAATCGTAAAAAGAAGTATTATTTTTGTGCAGGTTCTTCACTCAGAGCAAAGAATATGGCTTCGGTGAGATCCAAGTCCTCCAATTGTCACGTAAGAGCCCTTTATTCTTATTTGTCAAGTGGGGAACACCAATTGAGCTTCCATGAAGGCGATGTGATTGTCCTTATAGGAGAACGAAACAAAGGGTGGCAGTACGGAGAAAACCTCAGAAATCACAGGTAATCATTTTATGGCGTTAACAGTATTTTTCTTTTGTTTTACGACCGAATAGATAAACTCAAGAAAAATTAACTTTTTTAATGAAATTTTACAAAGATTTTATGCTTAAGTAGATCCAAATTCAATTGCCAACCAGGTGGCCGAGTGGTTAGCGTGCCTGATTGCGGAGCCGGTGGTTGCGGGTTTGAATCCCGCTCAGGGCATGGATGTTTCTCTCTCTCTCTCTGCGCTCTATGTCCTTTCTTCTGTGTGATTGTGTGAATGTAACCCGCCTTATAAACGGGTTTGTGGTTGTATGACGTGGGCGACGTTGCTCCACCGCCGTGGCGTAGCCATAGGTGCTCACTGGGTAACGATAAGAGAGTAGCAATTCTGGCATTTCTGAGGACAATGGGAAATAGACCCAAGTGCCCGCCATTAACCCAAAAAAATAATCCAAATTTAATTTAAATACGGATGTTCACATGACTAAATGTCATATTCCCTAGGTTTGATTTAATCAATTTCACAACAAATAAGGACTTTTGATATGAGACGAACAGTAGGGTGAACTGTCTTTCCAGTTTGAAACATCAACTTAGCAGGAATTCAAATGAACAAAACAAAATACCAGAGAGATTAGACTCAAAAGAATAAGCTACCATAATTTCGGACCGCATTTTTCCCTGTTCGGCTTATGCACTAGTAACATATTTGAACAAAAAAAAATTTTTTTACCAAAAACCAACTACGAAAAAAAAGAGAAATGAACTAAATTTAATACAAGCATAATAAAAGTAACGTTATTTACAATCTTAGCTTTTATATAACATTAATAAAACATTTCCGAAATTTCTGTTTTTCTGTCTCCTGGTTTGTTTTCTGCTTTTTGAAGCTCTGTCGCCATGGGGAAAAAAACATAATTTTAGTGCCTTACACTTGAAGCAATGCGATGATTTTAAACTATATATATAATTTTGCCTTGAAGAATTATCTGAGTTTCGAACAGACAAATAACTTAAATATTTTATAAGTTATTAAACGTTTTTAAAAGTCGCCAATTTGGCGACATTTTCCCACCTAGATGAAAATTATGAAAATCAATGCCATATTCTCAATTTTTGCAAATTTTCATGAACCTGTGTAATGCAGCATTGGAGTAAGTTTTCAAATATTAAAAGATTAGACCACAAACGCTTCTTGTTTTCACAAAACTGTGCCTTTTCTCCATAATGACGTTTTGCGCCATTTTGAAAATAAGCGCTAACAGTGCTGGCTTTAGATGGGCTAAACATAACCCAACAGTCATGAGTAACAGTTGCAAACTCACAGCAGTTATAAAAATAGCATATCATTTGCAAAAAAAGCATCATTTCATATTTCAACGAAGCCTTCAAAAAACAGTCTTTACAACAAACACTATTACATGATGATCATAAAGGTTCCATTCTATAAGTTATTCGTCTTCATTTCCTCAAAAGAATTAAATTATTACTTTCGCATATACTTGAGTTGCTTGATACAGCCATAGACTTGTTATGTCAAGAATTCGTCTGAATCAGAATATCAAAAGGTGGAACAATTTTATTTGAGACAGAAAGAGCAAAAATTGACACGAAATTTCAAGACTTCATGTTATATTTTCGATAAATTTTATTTTATGATAAGCAGTGATGCAAAACAATCTTCGATTCTTATTTAAGTTATTAAAAAATTATTTTTCGATTAGCATTTGGAGAAAACAGTGATTGTTTTTGGTCAGAAATTGATGTTTAATCAAAATTTAATACATTGAATGTACTCAAAATCCACGATGATTAAGTTAAAAATGGGAATGGTGGCTTATACGCCGAGGAAAATAAGGTAACTTTTAATAGAATTTTACAAAATCCCACGGATATATTTATTATGATTATTGGAAAATTTATTTCAAAAATTGCATTCTAATCTTTAATTCAGCCATAATAGTTTCAATTTTTTACTGAATAGAACAAGCATTAATTTTCGACTTAATTTTCTGAAAAGGAAAGATTTTCTTTGAATGATATTACAATGAGAATTGAAATCGGTGGTTGAGAGGTAAAATTATGATCGTAATCATCGATTAATTTCCAAAATTAATGATTTAAGCTACTTACTAAACATGCAAGTTTTATTGTTTGCTAACAAACCCTCTGTAAACAAAATACTAAAAGAACTTCTTAAAAAGGGAAGCAAAGTTTATTTTATTTATTTATTTTTTTAATTTTATTTTTTTAATTTTATTTTATTTATTTATATATCATTTTATTTATCTATATATTATTTTATTTTATTAATTTATATATTGGAAATAAAAAGCATACTGAATCGCATTTCGCTATCAAAACCGCGTACAAGCTTTCCATATAGCTGTGCTACTTGTTTTTCTTCTGCGTTTATTTATCGTTTAACTATCTTCTTAATAGATAAACGACGGGTACTTACCGGTAAAGGGCTAAAATTAAAGGCGAGTAAGTATCTTCCAAAGATCCAACGTGTACCCATAATAGTTTACATAAAATTATTAACAATTACATTCTACTACAATTTCCTTTCGCATCGATAAAGTAGTAGGAATATTTAGTGCCAAATAATATTTGCTCATCAATCTCTGATAATTTCTTACTCCCCCCCCCTATCTACATAAATCTCATCTTTTTGATGGCTATACTTAACAAAATTTATCGTCCTTTTCGTCCTTATCTAACATGGCAACAAAATCAGGTTTTTTTTTCAAAGCTCTCTAGCTACATTTAAGACATTTCCAAATTTTGAGTGGCCCTTAATTTTGAGTGGTTATTTACTTCTACTAATTACTACCATTTATTTGATCATTCGACGTCCTCAGTGCCAGTGGATTAAAAAATTTTTATACAATTATTTTTCTTACCAAAAATGAATGATTTTATCATCCATTTTTATTTCACTGTTTGAAAAAACAGCTACGATGAATACTATTAATACTTATTTAATGTGTTCTGAGTTGCGTAAACATGTAAAATTACACATTAAAAAAATTGTATTTCGTTAAAAGTCCAGAGATCTGAACACTTTGAAAGCCATATCATGATCAACTTTTTATTTTATTTTATAACTGGCTTTGAACAGCCGACACAATTCTGAGTTTATTAGTATCTGTATTCAACTCCATAGATTTGTAACTTTGAGCCCAATCCAAAAGACAAGGGAACTTCTGGATCAAGTATTGAGAGAAATTTGCCTTCGCGGAAGACTTTTTGATAGAACTATCCCGCATTTGCGTTACATGGAGAGGAAATTCACAAAACATCCCACGATTAGCCAAGTGGCAAGGTTCAAGCCCATGATCACTCTACCACTGAGGATATTTTACGTCAGCAATGTGGTCAGTAGGATTTGTATCGACCAGATATCGCTGGGATTCGAACCCCGGTAGCCACATTGGGAGGCGAATGCTCTATCCCCTGAGCCACCACGGCTCATAATCAATTCTATATCAAATTAGAAGATGATACTGGTAAATAATTTTTTTGTTGCATGAGATTTTTTTAACAGATCTTGGGTATTTTTAAGCCGTTGCACAATGGGCGAGAATCCAAGGTTTCATGGCCAAAATTAGTATTTCGATAAAATTTGTTTCAGAATTTGGGGTTTTTTATGTGCTGGTAAATTGTATTCATAGTTGAAATTTTGAAATACACTAAAAATATCCAAAAAAAACAAAATAACAGCCGAAATATAGCGAGCAAAAATTAAAAAAATTATATAGTACGTTTAAATAATTAAATATAACAATGGAAATATAATTTTCGTAATTTTATGTTAAAAATGAAAAGCTGATTATATTTCCGAAGTAATATTACAAAATAACGCGAAAACATGAAGAAAAACAAAATTTTAGTTTTTCGATATATTTAGTCCACCTTTGCAATACGGGCAAAATGGGGCAGGTAATATTTCAAAATAACGCGAATTAATTACAAAATAATGCGAAAACATGAAGAAAAACATAATTTTTGTTTTTCGGTATATTTAGTCCGCCTTTGCAATGGAACTGGTTTTTTCGAAAGAAAAAACATCAAGGAAGACAACAAAAAAAAGTTTAGCTATTACCTCGTGGAACTTTTTGGAACTAAGTTTCGAAAGTCATTCAAACATTGTAAAATGTCAAATGATAAGATTTAAACCATACGTTCGTCAAGAGTATTAATTAATCCAACAAATTGAAAAATTTTACTATAATTTCAGACTAATTACTCTGATAAAAATGTAACAGTAAAGTGAAATTCCTATATATATTTCTGAAATAAAAATTTAAAAGTTAAATATTTAAAAAAATTTTAAACATATTTTTCATTAAATCGTGCTCTTGTTGGTCCAAAAAGTAAATTATAATGTTTGGAGTGATTATGAATACTTAATTTGGGCTATATTAAAACTGCCTACACATATTTTAGTTGACAATTTAATTTTTAACTTTTGGCCAAAGATCATGGTCTTCTGCCCCCCAGTGCGGTGGTTTCCAAGCCCGCAATTGGCTTCTACATCCAAACTGCAGTTTTCTTAAAATGACATTTTTAATATATTTCTTGTCGAAATGTACAAGTTGAAAAAAAAAACGTTATATATAAGATAGGGTCACATAAATGTTGTGACTAGCTTCTAGGGAAGTTAGGACACATCATCAGGATTAAAATTGCATAGAAACCCATGCCCGGTAATATCGTCATACACCGCTAGGGCTGCTTCCCCTATTAGGAACAGTTTCCTCTTGTGGTTCTGAACAGGTAATATTATGGAAGCTCCCCTCTAGCTGTAACGACGACATTTACAGTATAGGGTTTTATGCAGTTTTAATTCTGAAGATGTGCTCTAACATCCTAAAATGTATGGTGCAACATTTATGCGACCCTCAGCTGTATAAAACCGTATTTAAACATGTACATTTCTATAAAAAAATAAACATTTAAAAAAAATCTGTAGCTTTAAGAGAAAAACTAATTTCAGGTTTAAAAATCCACACCCGAGTTGGGCAAGATCAAGTATTTGTATAAATTTTCCCCATTCTAACAGTGTAGTTTGATAAATAAAAAAATGGGACCCGTTTAAGGTACACGTAATGAAAATAGTAAACAAATTATATTTTTCTTTAATCCCTTAACGATCAGTTAATTTTCAAGAAAATGGTCATAAAAGTGTCGATTTTATTGGCTTTTGTATTTGTATTACGTATTTGATTAGTGCTGACATCTAGTTTAAAATAAACTAACTATCTACAATTACCTTAAAAATATCCTGGTACTGCAATCGGGTGTGTAAAATGAGAAATAAAATGTCTTCTGGGCTAAAGAAATGAATTATTCTTATTTTTATTGGCGATTTATTTCTGAACACTCCAGCCCGTCAATATCACGGGAGCGAGAAATAGAGGGTGAAGCCTCACCCCGTCATTTTCACGAGAACGAGAGGGGAGGGGTTAAAAGTTTTTAAAAAATTTGTCTAAAATTTTAATCTAACAAACATATTATATTTTATAAACAAACGAAAGTAATTTATATCGAACACAATTACATGCTATTCTAAAGTCATATTTCAATTTTAATTTTTCAGAGTAGGTTGGTTTCCAATTGCTTACACCGAGCCTATCCTAGACAGCTCCGAAAGTGAAGAACAAAGGTAATTATTATGTAGTTTTCATTAGTTTGTTATTCTTCAACAATTGCGTTATTTGGGAAGGAAACTAGTGAAGGTAGAAAAAATTTATATAAATAATTTTAAAATAATAGGAGACAGTATTAGCGGCTGACACTCTAGAAAGGGAATAAAACTCAAATTTGTTTGCGTCTTCCCCGAAGATGTGAATCCCATCTATAAAAGTGTTTCAAGCAACAAAAATTAAAGGGAATCATACAGCATCTTCAGTTACTACGAAGACTGCTTATTTTCATTACTAACTTAATATCGGCAGCTGAATTGAAACTGTTGTTTTGAATTGAATTTTATCAAACGAAAAGTTTTGTTTCTCTACGCGAAATAAAGATAACTGCGCAGCCACCATTAGAATTGGGAGCGAAGCGAGCAAAGGGTAATGCAATTCACTAATAATTATTTAAAAAGCAGAATTTCGACGAAATATTTCCTGTTAAACAATACTTTCTCTTTAATGAGGATGGGGAAGTTTTTATTGTGACTTAAAATTATTTTTGTATGCTTGATGGTCAAAAAAAACTGACAATAATTTAAATTATAAATAAATTTAGAGCTAATAAATAAATGTAATTTAATTATTTACCTTTGATACGAGAAAAATATGCTAAATACATGCATCCAATAGCATAAAAGATATTACCAAGACTTTTGGAACCCCGTAGGCAGTAAATATGTTTTTTTTACAGCGTATAAAAAGTAAAACACAATAAAGAGAATAAGTTCAATTAGTTTAACCTCATCGTTTATTCATTTAAAAAATACTAATATCCATGGAAATTAAAAGCAATTATTACTTTTCCCAGAAAATTCCTGAATTAAAATAACAAAAGAAAACTCTCCACTCCGATATCCAATTGAATTTTGCATTCCAGAATTCGCCACTCCATAACAGTTAAAGTGATGAAAACGTTCTTAAAATGCAGCCTTTTTTTTTTTACCCCAGACTAGCAGCGATAAGTCGTGTTTTAATTGGCTGCTGATAAATTCCACCTCATTTCCCGCTTTAATTGATCTTTGCTCATTTGATGGAAAACTGAGCGCTCATAAACAATGGCTGAGAAGCCATATTTAAGAGACCCCGTAGAATGAATACGAGAAATAATTGTTCTTCCAAGCAATTACGGATGGTAATGCAGTTCGCTAACGTTCACTGCGATTGCCGTAATAAATTGCTACTTTGGGAGAAAAGAGCGAATTGAATTTTCTACTGCTTAAGCGTTGTTCAGTATGAGGGAGGGATGATGTATATTTGGATCCTAGTTTGTTCCATCAGAGCTGATTANTATTTTATTTTCATTTCCTAAAACAAAGAAAAGTGCCACTCTAGTTTTGAAGTAAAAAACAATTTCTGAAATAATCCAACAGTTTATTTTCTATTAGTCACTGTATCTAGTGATGATTGTGAAAAATAAAAGTTCGTTTATACTAGTAGACTATAATATAAATTGTTTCTTATGCACGTTGATTAAATATATTTTACTTTTCTTTTCCATGTAGGATGTGAGACAAAATATGAGATTTTATATTTTCATTTAGGTTCAATTTTATACAACTTTGAAATAAATCATTTATGATACACAAGAGACATTATTATGATACACACAACTCTTTGTTTATTCTTCAAAAGACAAAGTTGCTGATAAAAATATTAGTTACTACACGTATATCTGAAGTATAATTGCACAAAAGGATAATTGTTGTTTTAAGATAATTGTTAAAGGATAATTGTTTTTCAATTATAATATTATTTTATCCTCAACTAAAATAACTTTAAATATAATTCTAAAAAACTTTAGCCAGACGATATAAATAATGTTAATTATAATAATAATAATCGTCTGTCTCAGTTTTCGTCTGCATAAGCTTTGAAAAAAGTCCTGTAGATAGCGCTTAAGACATGTAGTATTTTGTAGTATTTTTTCGGATGAAGTCGTAGTATTTTTTATTTTCAGAGTCTGGCAACCCTGTCTCTAGCTACACTTAAGTCATTTCTAAATTTTGAGTGGCACTTAATTGACGTGGTTATTTACTTCTACAAATTACTACCATTTATTTCATCATTCGACGTCTTCAACTCCAGTGGATAAAAAAATTTTTATGCAATTATTTTTCTTAACAAAAATGAATGATTCTATCATCCATTATTATTGTTTGAAAAAACAACTACGATAAATATTAATACTTATTTAATGTGTTGTGAGCTACGTAAACATGTAAAATAACACATTAAAAAAATTGTATTTCGTTAAAAGTTCAGAGATCTGAACACTTTGAAAGCCACTTATCATGATTAACTTTTTATTTTGTTTTATAACCGGCGCTGAACAGCAGACACAATTCTGAGTTTATTAATATCTATGTTCAACTCCATGGATTTGTAACTTTGAGCCCAATCCAGAAGACAAGGGAATTCCTGGATCAAGTATTGCGTGAAATTTGCCTTCGCGGAAGACTTTTTGATAGAACTATCCCGCATTTGCGCTACATGGAGAGGAAAAGCACAAAAACGACCACCATTAGCCCAGCGGCAAGGGGACTCAAACCCATGATCACTCGACCACTGAGGATATTTTACGTCAGCAATGTGGTCAGTACGATTCGTATCGAGCCGATATCGCTGGGGTTCGAACCCCGGTCGCTACATTGGGAGGCAAAAGCTCTATCCCTTGAGCCACCACGGCTCATAATCAATTCTATATCAGTTTAGAAGATAACACTGGGAAATAATTTTTTTTTGTTGCATGAGACTTTTTTTAACTGATCTTGGGTATTTTTAAGCCATTGGTTTTCAAGTCTGCAATTGGCTTTTACATCCAAACTGCAGTTTTCTTAAAATGACATTTTTAATATATTTTTTGTACAAGTTTAAAAAAAAAGCTATATGTAAGATAGGGTCACATAAATGTTGTGACCAGCTTCTAGGGAAGTTTGGACACATCATCAGGATTAAAATTGCATAGAGACTCATGCCCGGTAATATCGTCATACACCGCTAGGGCTGCTTCCCCTATTAGGAACAGTTTCCTCTTGTGGTTCTGAACAGGTAATATTATGGAAGCTCCCCTAACTGTTACGACGACATTTACGGCATAGGTTTTTATGCAGTTTTAATTCTGAAGATGTGCTCTAACATCCTTAAATGTATGGTGCAACATTTATGCGACCCTCACCTATATAAAACCGTATTTAAACATTTACATTTCGACAAAAAATAAACTAAAAATATCATTTGAAAAAAATCTCTAGCTTTAAGATAAAAACTAATTTCAGGTTTGAAAATTCACACCCGAATTGGGCAAGGTCAAGTATTTGTATAAATGCAACAAAAAATTTGTTCCCCATTCTAACAGTGTAGTTTGATAAATAAAAAAAATGGGACCCGTTTAAGGTACACGTAATGAAAATAGTAAACAAATTATATTTTTCTTTAACCCCTTAACGATCAGTTAATTTTCAAGAAAATGGTCATAAAAGCGTCTATTTTATTGGCTTTTGTATTTGTATTACGTATTTGGTTAGTGCTGACATCTAGTTTAAAGTAAACTAACTATCTACAATTACCTTAAAACTATCCTGGTACTGCAATCTGGTGTGTAAAATGAGAAATAAAATGTTTTCCGGGCAAACGAAATGAATTATTTTTATTTTTATTGGCGCTTTATTACTGAACACTCCAGCCCGTCAATATCACGGGAGCGAGAAATAGAGGGCGAAACCTCACCCCGTCATTTTCGAAATTTGTCTAAAATTTTAATCTAACAATCATATTATATTTCATAAACAAACAAGAATAATTTATAGCGAACACAATTACATGCTATTCTAAAGTTATACTTCAATTTTAATTTTTCAGAGTAGGTTGGTTTCCAATTGCTTACACCGAGCCTATCCTAGACAGCTCCGAAAGTGAAGAACAAAGGTAATTATTATGTAGTTTTCATTAGTTTGTTATTCTTCAACAATTGCGTTATTTGGGAAGGAAACTAGTGAAGGTAGAAAAAATTAATGTAAATAATTTTAAAATAATATGAGACAGTATTAGCGGCTGACACTCTAGAAAGGGAATAAAACTCAAATTTGTTTGCGTCTCCCCCGAAGATGTGAATCCCATCTATAAAAGTGCTTCAAACATCAAAAATTAAAGCGAATCATACAGCATCTTCAGTTACTACGAAGACTGCTTATTTTCATTACTAACTTAATATCGGCAGCTGAACTGAAACTGTTGTTTTGAATTGAATTTTATCAAACGAAAAGTTTTGTTTCTCTACGCGAAATAAAGATAACTGCGCAGCCACCATTAGAATTGGGAGCGAAGCGAGCAAAGGGTAATGCAATTCACTAATAATTATTTAAAAAGCAGAATTTCGACGAAATATTTCCTGTTAAACAATACTTTCTCTTTAATGAGGATGGGGAAGTTTTTATTGTGACTTAAAATTATTTTTGTATGCTTGATGGTCAAAAAAAACTGACAATAATTTAAATTATAAATAAATTTAGAGCTAATAAATAAATGTAATTTAATTATTTACCTTTGATACGAGAAAAATATGCTAAATACATGCATCCAATAGCATAAAAGATATTACCAAGACTTTTGGAACCCCGTAGGCAGTAAATATGTTTTTTTTACAGCGTATAAAAAGTAAAACACAATAAAGAGAATAAGTTCAATTAGTTTAACCTCATCGTTTATTCATTTAAAAAATACTAATATCCATGGAAATTAAAAGCAATTATTACTTTTCCCAGAAAATTCCTGAATTAAAATAACAAAAGAAAACTCTCCACTCCGATATCCAATTGAATTTTGCATTCCAGAATTCGCCACTCCATAACAGTTAAAGTGATGAAAACGTTCTTAAAATGCAGCCTTTTTTTTTTACCCCAGACTAGCAGCGATAAGTCGTGTTTTAATTGGCTGCTGATAAATTCCACCTCATTTCCCGCTTTAATTGATCTTT